ATTTTCAATGGAGCAATTAGTGCATTGTTTGCACTTGTCAGATTAAAACACCCAGGATGGTGGGAATGTCCTCAAACACAAACTCACAGTATTTTAGTAGCCTATGTGTGTAAAATACAAGCAAACACACACTATATATGCAGCATAAACACTAGTCTTTGCTATCCATCACAATACAAAAAGAGGCTGTTTCACCAAGCTTATTATCATTAACTAAAAGCAAATAATAATAAAAATAAAATAAAAAAATACTTGAAACAATCCTTAATTTGAAAATATGTTAACAAAAAAAGTCAATTAAATTTCAGCTATGCAAAGGCAATAATTCTCCTTTTCTCTTTAACTCAAAGTTAAACTAATGAATAAAGAGTCACTAAAAAAAAACGACAAAAGACAAAAAAAAATCACAAAAAATGTAAAATTTAAATTTTACAAATAAAATAATAAAAAATATTAACAACAACAACTACAATAGTAATATCAACTATTAAATCGCTGGTTTTCTCTCGAAGAATAACTAGAATGTATCACCTACAATATTTTATACGGACGAAATGGACTATAGAAACTGAAGAAGAAAAAAAGGTGTCTTCTGAACAAAATATAAATGCTGTTTCCACATAAAAAAGATGTTGCCACGATACACAAAGGTGGTGCTGTGTGTTTTAAGGTGTTCTGAGGGATTTCCAAGCACTGAACTTCATTGCCACAGTAAAGCCACTTTACTCACGTGCTTGTATTTAGTCTGTGTCTAGTAGTAGGAGAATTCTGACCCTTTTGGCTTTTGATCAACTTTCGGCTACAGCTGGCCGTGCAATCAATCAATCAATCAATCAACCGCACTGAACTCAGAGCATGAGCTCCTGGCGCGTGCTGACACCTTGCATAAAATAAGCTAAAGCAAAACACGTTACAAATCGAATTATTTGCCTCATAAATATTTTTAGAAGATAACAATTTATATGCTGTAGTTCCACAGCTACATGAGAACATCCGTAATCTGGCACGTGGACGCGACTGCTTTGCCACCTAACTTAAGCAGAGATGACAGTCATGCTGTTAACAGTTATCAAAGGAATATCCCTGGCCTGGGAACGGACTCGAGGCTGTGTTTCCAGCTGGGACTCTCGTGCCTTTGATGGGATGTAGCAGTTTTAACCACGTGCCATTGTAGCACGTAAATGTTGGTCACGCTCCTGGAACATATACATGGTAACTATACATGGTATATAAAGTATACTTTATTATTGCATAAAAATTGTATGTGCATATATTCTTTTTCATCACTGGACAGTTGTGCTATCCAGAGTTTTTGCAGCATATTTTGGTATGAATTAACCCTATAGTTTATAAAATATATTTTTGCATAAAAAAATGCATGTCATTACACTGAAAAAAAAGAATGAATAAAAATAAAAACTGAACAATGAAACAATTTTCACTCAAAAATTGCTTGTAAATTTCACAATTAATTATAAAT